GGCGTATACGTACCCTTCATGCCCGGCACATGCGAGTAGTGCAGCACATGTAAACTTTCGTCCGTATTATCCCCACCGCGTAGCGAACTACTCAACTAAAAGATGAATATCACAAAAATTAGTAAGAATATTAGTTTTTTGCGTCGCAACAGTCGATATGACAAGTTAAAGTATTTGCTCTTTAAAAGCCGATGTAAATGTTAGCGCTTGATCTAGCAGTAAAGCCGATATGGTGTGGTACCAGCAAAGGTATAGAAATCAAACAGTAAAAAAGAAAATATTTGAAATACTCTAACCAACGCTAGAAATAGCTTTGTAATTAAGACTAGTATCGCCCTGTGATCAACCACTTCTCTTTTTTTATTAAATTTTTATACCTGAGCGCACTTGGGCGAACTCACGATTTGTAACATTTTAGGCGTAAAGTTGCTATGTTAGCAATCTAGCACGTATTTTGTTGTTGGAAAAGCAAAAAAAAAAACATGTGCTAGATTGTTGAACATAATAAAAGCAGTTTTTTAATCTGCACAGATTTTGTTAAAAAATATCAGCCGAGTACAATTTGTTTGGAAATGATTTATGTAGACAAAAAAAAATAATATTGGAACCAGATATGAATATTTTGCAGCTGTAAAAGATATTTATCATTTCTGGATTTTTTTTAGTAATAGCAGAAATAAACACCCATTTTCGTTTCGTATAAAATATTTATTTATTTATTATTTGTTTATTATCTTAGTTTAAAGTATTGACTACAAATCACAGAATGTATTTTAGCATTTGTAAAAAGTTAAATTTACATTTATATACGGATAGTTACTTAAGTTTAACAATTTGACGCATATATTTATATACAGTATGTACAGTAGGGTGGTTTAAAAATGCCTGCAGGGAAAAACTATTAAATTATTTAGCTCTCAACCCTAGAATTTTTCTAAATGGAAATTATGTTAAGAAGTGCCTCAAAGCCCATGAGCTTTTCCATTTTTTTTAAGGGGGGGGGGGGACACTTTTTTGTAGAAATCGTATAGAATTCTTGAAAATCAATATTTTTTCATTCGGAAAACTCTGTTTCTTTTTAGGAAACTTCTAGTAACAATACCCAATTGTTTATTTAACAATTTTTTAATATTGACTACCATTTATAGTAGGTCCGCACAAAACTCCAAAAAATGCAATGGGGACGCCTATAAGAAATTCTTTATGTTAGAAAATGAAGAAAAACAGAGTTTTCCGAGAGGAAAATATTGATTTTCAAAATTGCATATCATTTCTACGAAAAAGCGTTTTTCCCCATATAAAATACAAGGAAAGCTTTCAAGAGCTTTGAGGCGGTTCTAAATATATATTTTTTTTTTAAACACAAACATATATGTACATAGGTATTTTTTTTTGGCATTTAAAATAATCCTAGGGGGTGAGAGCTTAACATTTTAAACTTTTTTTGGACCACCTTAATGTATGTACATACATACATATAACGCTAAAGCATTTTCAATGATAAAACTAAATACTAAATATAGTTATTGTATATGTGTGTATGTATGTATGCCGTATGTACATATATATATTTTTTTTCATTTAAAACGTAGTCACATTGTTTTAGTTTTGGCAAGCGTATATAATTATTGTTTAATTTTATGATTCAGCGCATACACAAGTGCTTAAGTACACATGCATATACATACTTATGTAGATATGCACATACATGCTTAAATTACACAAAAAAAAATTGTATAATGCATTTAGTTGTAAGAACTTGTACTGCTCTATGCATGTGAATGTATGCATCGGCGTAGCCAGAATGAAATTTAGGGGGGGAGGGGAGGGGCTCGACCCTATTAAGCTGGCATTTCAGGGTACTATTTTATATATATATAAGGAAAATTTTAAAGTTAAGGGGGGGGGGGGGCTCGAGGACGCCCCTGGCCCCACTTGGCTACGCCCATGAATGTATGTACTATATTTAACACAAAATTGTCATACTACAGCTATTGATTTGAGCCTTGATTTTGTTTGTAAATATATATTTTTGCATATTTAAGTGCTAAGCTAAAGTACTGTCAAAAAAAAAACGCAAAAGACAAATTCAAAACAATCTATTCACCCTCCGCGTAGGAAGGCGGTCCACAGCGATCAGTACGTCTTGATAGACGTGCTGTTTTGCACCGCAGCAGGCATTGCCGCCTTGCGCTAGGCACACGAGCAGTACTTCTTCACAAAGCTATCGGCCACACAATGCGAGTCCTTGAAATACGTATTCAAACGACTTATCTCGCCCGTGATCTTAATAGTCTCAGTCTCTGGATTATAACGCAGCGTTACCTCGAAGTCTGCACTATTCGGTTTTGTGATTAAATGCAGCCGATACACATCCAAGGCAGTACCATTGGCGTCTTTCGGTCGAAAGTCCTTGCACGAGCGATGTGCGCTTATCACGTTGCCGAGCTGCAGAGAACGACATAGCGAGGTCAATGAGCCGTTGTTGAAATTGCGCACAAGCTCATTTATATAGTTGACCGTCATAGTACCCAATTTTTGTACGATATGCATATTTTTATTCACTTTTCTATAGGGTATGCAAGTGCACCAGTGCTCATCGATGGCCGCGTCGTTGCACGAACGATCCAAAGGTACCGGCTCGAGGAGAGTTTGACAATTCGTGCAGCCCTCAGCTGGAGCTAAGACACTTGCCTTGTCCTTGTCTTCGACGCGCTCGGATAGGCGAAGAAAATGCTTGAGTGTCATGTGTAGATCGTATGGTGTGGTCAGACGATTTTTATTTACACTCAAAGCATTCACGAAACTGGGATACTTTTGTTTCAGATACGGTGGCAACCAAATAAAAATGAACGGCAGCCGCTCCTCCATATGACCGGAATTTGTTGCACGTGCGGGCCCAAAGCGTAAACCGTGATCGCTAAAAAATACGACAATGCTGCGATCGAGTATGCCCAACTTTTCGAGGCGTTCCAGGTAGTTAAGCACCACCACGTCCATTGAGGAGGCATCACTCAGATTGTTGTGGCTAAAGGAATTCGCCCAAAATAAGCCAAAAAGCGGATGGTCTTTGAAACGTGTCGCGAACTCTATCGCATAGTCGAGTACAAATTGCGCCGACTGCTGATAGCCGAGACAGAAGGTGAGACCGGATTTCAAAGTCTTATACAGATGATGTTCAGCAGCGAGTTGGAATGGACGTAGGTAGTAATCGACCGGTGGTTTCACGAATCCCACCTTATAGTAGTTGAATGTACTGATTTCGGCAGCATCTTCACCATAGCCGGTCACATAGCCATGCTCGCGAAAGGTATTCCAGATTAAACTGCAATTGTCTAAGGCACCGAGGACTTTTGGAGGGCATTTCTTAACGGTAGTGTATTTATTGTAGCCAGCAAGCAGAGCCATTAAATTCGGAAATGTATTGTCGTCTATCTGATAGAAAGCAAAGTAGGATTTAAAAACAAATTATTAGAATTCTTTTGTTTTTTTTTTTTTTAATTAGGGAGTTAAGCAGGTGTTGCATACTGTCATGTTGTTGTATGTTGTAAACTTTAAACGGCTAAAACTATACGATTTAAGGGATTCGCAAGCTACCATAAAAGTCGTATTTATTTAGCCAATTAAAAACTTTACGACATACGACAATACGACACCTTGTGAACCACCTAAGCATTTATTAAATTAAAAAAATCAACTTTCTTATTTCGATCTCCTTAAATAGCCGGATTTAGAACTTTGTGTGTGATGTGATTTAGTTAGAAATCGAATATAAAGCTATTTATCTTGTCCTCTTATTTGTACAGTTGTTGTAGACTAGATTGATATAAATACATATTCTACCTTATTGTAGCCACTCAATTCGAACCAGTCGTTGTCATACAGGTGCTGCGCTGTCTTTGGCATGGCTCGTATCAAGTTTACGCGCGATATACTATCGATGCCGATCATTAGCACGCTTGGTGGCTTCGTGCCACCCCGTTCATCATCTTTTTCCCGCCAAGTTTTTAAACGCTCCAGCACATCTGGTTTTTCGCTTATCAAAGCATGCCCATTTTTATAGACATTTCGCTTGTTGGAATCGCATTGTACTAAAATATTCTCGATTTTAGCTGATAGAGAGACGCTATCCTTAAAAGGCACACACTTGCCAAGTCTAAAAAATATTAAAAAAAAAAGAAAAAGGTTTATAAAATAAAATAAAAAATTAAAATTATTTATAAACTTTAAATTAAGTCGCGAAAATAGCATGCCTAGGTGCCGTTTTCTCATGCTGGGTATTAAATTTTCTAGGCCCCTTGAACACAAATTTTGTTCTGAACAAATATATTTGAAGGGCAGATAAATTGTTAAACCTACTTGAGAAAACGCCACTAAATATGAGTAAAAGCTAATGAATTAGCTATATAACGGTAAACTACGTTTTTTAAATATTTATCTGTATTGAAGGAGCAGCTTTTCTCAGTAGCTTAAGTCGGGAGGCTCTGACTTTAGTATAATATGCCATTCGCAGGTTACGATTGCGAATGACGCACAGATGCCAAGCCATTGAAGAGCTCTTCGCAAATAAACGTGAGAGGAATAGTTCTGATGTTAAAAACTGGAAGAAAACACTTTCCTTTAAGAAGTTATTACTGGCCGACGAGTGTTACGAATGTCGACAAGTTGCGATAGCGATCCGGAAGTTATCGCTAACTGCTTACAGAGTCTCCCTATAAATGTAATAAAGTTTTTGTTCTATTTTATGAATCTACAACTATTGGGAAAACACATTAGGCCTTTGTAGTATACATACATACATAGGTACAAGTACAGTGGTCGAAAAAATTATAGCCGCACCACATATTGACAAGCTTTTTTGTTATATAAATTTAGCTATTTTTTTATAAATATACCGTTCGTTCTGTAACAAAAACCGTGTCAATTCAAGTTTCAAACTTTGTGCAATATAAACAAAAAAATATAAAAATTCAGCAAACTTTTTTAAAAATTTCGAGCTTTTTAATTAGATTTTGAGTATATAGTTTTGTAGCCCATTCCATTCTAATGCAATAAGCTGCAAGTTTTAAGTGGCTAAAAATTACCGTTAGATTTTTTTTTTCTCGAAGATCTTACACTTTTCTTCCATATATTAAGAAAACATAAATTAGAGCAATTCATCTAAAAGCGTAAATACCTCGTAACTACGTAAACCTCGTAAACTTTCTTAATTTTGTATGGAAAACCGGTTTATCTACGATGTTTACACAGTGATAGTGTTCATTCGTGCAAAAAAAAAAAAATCGAAAAAATCAACGGCAATTTTTTAGTTATTCGAAACTTGCACTTTATTATAACAGAATTAAATGGGCTACAAAACTGTATACTCAGAATCTTTGTTGGAAATCCAATTAAAAAGCTCAAGATTTTTACGGAAGTTTGCTTTTTTTTAATATTGCAAAAAGTGTGAAACTTGGTTTGTGTAAAAGAATAAACTGTATTTTTTTACAAAAAGGAACTAAAATTAAATAAAAAAAAAATATTGTGAAAACTTTTCATTAAGTGGTGTGGCAATAGTTTTTTCCATCACTGTATATATCTGTGATTCCCAAAGTGGTCCAGGTGGACCCTCAGGGATCCACGGGAGACACGATATGGGGGTACACGAGTTGCAAGTAGGGGTCCACGAAAATTTATCTGGTTTAGATAGTAAAGCACCAAAATGGCTGCTTGCTTAGCCTTTTTATTTAACTTTAATTTTAAATATAAATAAGAAATACAATAAAATTAGGAAGCGCCTGACGAACTCCAACCCGGCACCTGCTGGAAGCTAACAAATAGCGACACTCCTCTGCACGCAGAGCCAATGCCGACTACGCATGCATGCTTTTAAATGTTTAGCTTGAGTAAATAAAATATAATTATTGCTTTCAAATGACATCATCTTTTTCGAACGTTTCGAACCTTTTCCGGATACGAAAATTGATGATAACTGTAGGAGTTTTTTTATTCGTTTTCGGATACGGAAAATTGAACTGAACGGCACTGTCGGCAAAATTTACGCATCTTTGCTGGCTGGGAAGACATTTGGCCACAGTTGGCTTAGAGCGCGCATTCTTCGATCCGCAACCAGTTATTGCACTCCCCACTTCGGCCATCGACACCAACATCAGAAACCGGGTGAATACTTCGCTCAGCAATGACGGGGATGCAGGTGAGTAAAACTCATGTTGCCTACAATTTCAGAAGGTCTATCTAGTTTTCTGCTCTCACTGAGCAGACGGTACTGCAGACAACTCGTTGGACTACTTCACGTGGCACAAACACCTGACTGTAAGAGGCGTAAATGACAACTCAATTTGCCCATCCTGCCTTGAAGAGGACGAGACGGCGGAACCCTTTTTATGCTTCTTGCTTGCTTGGTTGTTTGTCATCGAATTTTTTACATTCGGTCTTTTCCTTATAGCCAGTTTCTGAATTTAAAGTTTAGCGTAAAAGCTTTGCGGTTTTCTTATTTAAAGTTTTGTGTTTTAAAAAATCTGAGTGATAAATATTTTTTGCATCAGTTTAAAACTCCGAGTGGTAAAAGTAAAAATGATGTCATCACCACAAATACATTATTTTACAAATACGCCACATGCAAAAAACTTATGAGTGAGCCAAAAATGTGCGGAGTTTATGGTGAAGAGAATGTAAATAACGCTACCGTTCGGAGTGATCTTAAAAAATATATAACTCCTCAGAGCGAAACAGTACTTTGACGGCCTTACGAGCTCTGTATTTTAAAACTTGCAAGTGTGTAATCACATTATTTTTATAAATAGAACACAAGAAAATATTTTATTTTTATTTTTGCCACTCCGAGTTTAATTTTTGAATTCACCCGCGATGCAAATTTACATCGCTAGATCTAATCTTCACTTTTTTTTTAACGAGCTTTGGGAATATTTTATAAATGTAGGAGCAGGGGGTCCACCGAAACCAGTAAAGTTTTGAAAGGGGTCTACGAGAAAAAAAGTTTGGGAACCTCTGGCATATATGTACACATATATATACGAATATCAGCATAAATGTAATAAAGAATTGGTATTTTCGTTTTCGAGAGGGGTAAAAGGAAAAATTTAAATCTTTTTGAAATATTGCGTTTTTTTTAATTTTATACCAATTAGCAAAAAAAAAATTTACCAAATCAGCCGAAAAAGTACCAACATATAAGTATTTAAATTCGATAAATTTCTCTATTGAGGGATTCACAACGGTGTCGTAAGTGTCGTATTGTTGTATGTCGTAAACTTTAAAAACTTAAATAAATGTTTAGAAAACTTTAAACCACAACCAACTATTTTCAAACACTGCGAAAATTGATATTATGGCTTTGATGGTACTTTGCGAACCCCCTTTATAAAATTTTTTTAGGCGTTTAAAGTTTACGACATACAACAATACGACACTTACGACGCCATTGTGAATATCCCTAAAAGGTACGTTCATTTAAAATCTCCAGTAAAACATGCACAGCAACAAAATTCAATGCAGGGAATACTTGAAAATTGCTCAAGGTCTGGGTGCTCTCCTGACCTCATGCGGTCTAAATATGCGGCCAAAAAGAGTTGCATTTAATGCAACAATATTTTGCAAAATATTTAGTATTTTCTAAGGTTTATATTATTACAGCAGCTGTTTATTAATTTTAGCAAGTATTTCGTTTTTAATAAACACCACGTATTTACTTCTATGAAGTGTAAAAACATTCGTCCACAAACATTCAAATTTTCAAGTATACACAGTGGTATTTCGACAGAATTTGGCGCAGTGCCGCATTTTGACAAAATTATATCGAAAATGTCGATATAGTACCAATGTACTTTTGAGTTTCAAAATGTACAAAAAAGTTCAATTGTACATCATGTCATCACTGATGTGTATTATTGAATCATCCCTGTCAGCCACGGCTCACCACCAGTGTTGCGGCGGCGTTCAGAAGAAATGTACACCGAAATTCCCTAAAATGGATCAAAAGTATCATGAAACAAAATTTTAAATATCAAAATATCAATCTTCAATAAAACTTTTAATTCTTAAATTAAAATGGTAGTTTGAATTTTTAATTTAGATCGTTGACAGTTTTTATTAATATTTTTATGGTTTTTATGTAAAATACAGAGTGAAAATAAAGTTTTTATACTCGGTAACAGTTGAATTCATTTGCATACTTAACTAAAATTACATATCAAATTGGTATTTAACACTGTATGAACATAAAAGTAATTTTTACAATACTTACTGGATTATAATAGATAGATTGGCGCTTACACATATGTTAGTGTTTGGCCGAGCTTCTCCTCCGATTTGTGGCGTGCGCCTTGATGTTGTCACACAAAACGGAGGGACCTACAGTTTTACGCCGACTCCGAACGGCGATTGTATTTTTTATGAGAAGCTGTTTTTCATGGCAGAAATACACTCGGAGGTTTGCCATTGCCTGCCGAGGGACGACCGCTGTTAAGAAAAAACCTTTTTTTCTATATTTTTTGCGATGTTGCTTTGACCAGGGTTTGAACCCAGGCGTTGCGGAGTGGAAGCGCGCACTGCTTACCACTACACCACAGCGGCCGATTACTGGATTACTCTGGATGAAATTCTCGAGGCAGTGTCACACGATTGGTACATTTGTACAGATTTGTACATTTAGGCAGTTACAGAGTAGTCTTGTTTGGAAATTCTTTTATTGAGCTGAACTCAAATTTATAAAGAACACCACTCTGTGACTGCCAAAATGTGCAAAACTGTACAAATCGTGTGACACTGCCTTTAGCCCAGTACAACATCCAACAGCTTCAAAATCAAAAAGGAAAAAGAACGACAATAAATATTAGCCCTTTCCCGCATTCCAGGATTTAGTGAGAAATTGTTCGAAAAATATATAATAAATAACGACTTCCGACTATTTTGGACTAAATCCTGGAGTACTGGAGCAGGCTAGTCGTCTGTAGCTAACAGTGATACCATATGCAGATTACAGGTGGTATGTTCAGGAAAGAAAACAAACTTAATGTTTTGCCACAAAATCATAAAAGTCTTAAGATGGGAAGAATTACCAACTTGTTTGAGAATTAAAATTTATCACAATTTATACTTAGCTAAAAATAAAAGTATCTTTTAAAAATTCGATGGAAAACGAATAATTTGGATCCATTTGGATGTAAACGGCAACACTGCTCACCACTTTCCCCTGAAATTCAAACGATTTGCCAGCACGTGTTGAACATATGTTCAGCAAACATAGTTGCAACTAGAGAATGTTCGATATTTAAGAAAGTATCGATATCATGAATCGATTTAATTCATTGCATGTAAAATCGATATGGCGATATATCGGGCTGAACAATATCGATATAGGAGAAATCGATGTTGAAAATCCTACTCCCAATTGAATAGAATATTAGACCTGCCTGTCAACTCACCTAATTGTGTTATTTCCATCTTGCATATTTACTGAGGATTAAAACGGCATGCCGGTCGACTCAAGCGATTTGTCAAACTTAAGAGCTAAATAAATCACGCAAGCTGCTGATTAAACCTACTTGAGTATTTTTCCACACAATTTTGTGTAGATTAAAAATAAATTTCAACTTAAATATCGCTATTGCGGGTAAAGTATCGATGTCTGCGATATATCGACCTTGGAATATCGATTCAAAAAATGGATTATCGTGCGAAACTATATCGAACATTCCTAGTTGCAACCAAGGCGAATTTATACAAGGTGGTGTTTGGGTTTTCGCGGCGGACCTTCTGAATGTCAAAGTGCTTCGTTTGTTGTATAAATTAGCGTTGTTTGCAACGGTGGGTATGGAGTCAAGGCTCTGTTATGCATACTTGGCATTGCTTGAGAGTTGTCACATAAAGAATCTGTTAAATGAGCTTCGCGTGTAAGCGGTTACCCAACGCACAGCATTACATACGTAAAAGTCTGTTGGTTTTTGATTTCTACGTAAAAATGGTATTGCAGTGCATGCAATGCCAAGTATGCATAACAGAGCCTTCACTCCATTGGAGTGTGGTCAGTTAATATTTGCAAGCTAGAAGTAGGTAATGTGGTATATTTTGTTTCATACATTTACGTACATACAAACATAGTTCAACAAGAAATACAGAAAAATGGACATCGAAAATGAATATGATAAATATCGTGCGGAACTAATACGACTAGTTCGCGACAATAGTATACTGTGGGATAAGAAACATCATTTATATTACAAGAAAGCGTCAAAAAAAGCAGTCTGGAAGCGTTTGGCTCAAAGAGTCGGGAAATCAAGTAAGTAGGTGTGCATACATATACATATGTGTACTGATATACATACACATTTATGCAATAATACAAGGTGCTATCAGTTGTGACAGCTCGATTTGACACTGCCTTAGCTCAGTAGAATGAGAAGAAAAACGGGAAGAAATGAATCCCCATATGGGAAAAATATAAAATTTCACATTTTCTCCTTAACAAAATTTGAAGTAACACTGTTTCACGTAATGCTTGAAATACAATACCGGCGAACGGCAAACTTCGCCGAATTGGGCGATGCTGTCGTTCACCGTTCGCCCAGCTATTTCGCCTACTTAAACAAAATTAGAGCGGTAGCGAAAACAGCTGATCCCATTTGGTCGCCTTTATAATTTGGGTGACCATATTTAGAAAAAACTAAACCATATTTAGAAATGAGGAAATGATAACAAATATAAATGTAAAACAAAGAAAGATTATTATAAATAATTTGTTTCAAGCCAGATTTAACGAATCCACAACTATATTTTTCAAACAACAAAAAAAACAATCGTGTTTAGGTTGTTTTCTTTTTAAACTTTGAAAGCACAAAACAAATACGGCCGCCTTTGGCACGCACAGCTGTCATCGCCCAGCAGAGCGATAGAAATAAATCTATCGCCATGAAACGCCGCCAAGCGCACTTCGCATTTCGCTTTGGCTGTGTTCAATTTCATATGCTTGCGGGTGTTCTAATTTTGACAGCGCGAATTTCGCTGTGGTGAGTTCGCCGTTCGCCGGCATTGTATTTCAGCTATAAGGCAGTCAATATGCGGAATTAGAGCGAGAAGTTGCCAACTGATAACACCTTGTATTATTGCATCATGATACATACATATGTATGCATTTAGGTACTTGGGTAAGTACGATACAAGGCACTGTTGCCAGCTTGGTGCTTTTCGCACTAAATTTAGTGCGTTTCTTTTTCAAATGCGAAAAATTTTTAGTTTGGTGCTTGGTGCGTTTTTTGGTGCTTTTTCTTAGTTTGAAGACACCAAATCTGTAAATCTTAACAAAAAAATTGAAGCTAAATTACTAGAAATGGTAAATATTTTAGCAACTTTACAAAAATGGAAACAAAATCATCGCCCAATGACAATCTTAAGCGAGCATATGTTTACCAACAAACTTTTGACACGAACAGATTTTTCCCGCTATGCGCTCAAATAAGGCACATCAAAAAGGGAATGAAAATTTCGTTATGTTTCAGTTGTCAAGCAGTCGGGGGAAAAAAGTTCTTTATGTTAGTTCACGAGATCAAAAGAGACTACAGTGTAGATTTAAACTACCACATAGTTCAAGAAACTTCATTTTTTGTTTTTGCTTTCGTTTGACAGGAATTGGTGAAAAAATTATGTAAAATGAAGAAAAATTCAACATATAAACAGTCAGGAATTTTTTTTTTTATATTTCTTGAATCTAAGCGAAGCGGCAACGCTGAACACAGCTGCAAATTAAAAAATAAGAATAAGCACGTTATTGTCGCTTGGACGAAAATATTTGAATTTATAGAAAACAGAAAAAATTCCGCCGTCGAGCAAGAAACATTGATTTGTATTAATTTAAATCAGCATCCCTATAACAAATTTGTATGCATATAAAGTCCATTAAATACTCCGATAAAAATTCGGTGCTTTTTTCGAGAAGAAAACGCGATTTTTCTTGGGTTTTAGTGCTTTTTCAAAATCAAAACTTGGCAACACTGATACGAGGTGTATTTTATTTAAATACACCTTGGTACGATATGTCCGTATGAACATGTGTATATACGTGTTGTATGCATACGGTGACCATATTAGGTCCATTCCTTATCTTTTCGGACTAAGATCTGAAAAGTGTCAAAATGCAAGAGCGTAAGCAAAATGCGCTCACTAAAAGAGAATAACAGGAAAAAGTAAAGTAACGCAAAAACCCAAATTTTTAGTCCAATGAATGGCAACAACAAAGCTAACGTCAAATAGGAATAGAAATGTATGTACAAAACACATTCACACAAGCACAATAAACACTTACTATATCAATTATTTTTTGCCTCCTTCCACTTTCAATTCACTTTTCTTATTTTTTAGATTATTTTCACTTTTTGTGTATTCTTTAATTTCCGTTAATTTTAATTCAGTTGAGTTTGACACTTTTCACAACCAGTAATGCCAACCGGGCGAGAATTCCGCGATTTTGGTGGAATTTGAATTTCTCGGGGGGAATCGGGGATTAAGTTTAAAAGTTGGGGAAATACGTTGTACAAACGATTTTTTTTTAGAACATTCCTATTGAGAATAAAATTACAACTTGTGGTAACAATCCCTCATTACGGTGTTACGGATTTAAATCAAAAAGTAATTGCGTGTGTATTAAAGAAATTGTAATCGTGCATAGCGAATCTTTTCCCTTGACGTTTATATTTGACACTACCATTTCGCCAAGTCAATGTCTGTCAAAGTTTTGAGCAGTCTAATAAAAGTAAGTATTTATCACTATATGTGGAATATTTTGCCAGAATTAAGTTTAAAAAGTTGCAATCAGAAATAAACTTGCCATAGATACTTTGGAGGCAAATTTACCTACAATACAACTATTTAAAAGTCCAGCCTCTCTTGATTTTAGTTAGACTTGTAGAAAGTTAAAAGAAAATTATCTAGAAATATATGATTCCAAGGATATATAATAGGAAGTATAATAGATATACTTTACGAAATATACTCAGAAGTAGTGTTGCCGTTTTGATCCATTCACTTCAAAACCGATATGTGTTTATCCATTTTTGGATATCTCCTTTTTGAATAAAACGGTAAATATTTTGCATTTTCTCCAACAGTTAAACAAGTTCGTGAGCATTGGATTAGCTTGCGAATCCAATATCGTGAGAATTTGAGGCGTGAAGTAGTGCAAGGCGCAAAGCCGCGATGGAAACTTTACCCCCAAATGTCGTTTCTACGAGATTGTACAATTATTAGAAACAAGAACAAAGCTTCTTCGGATTCAGAATCGGACATGGAAATAACACAGAAACACACAGGTACTAACAAAATTAATTTGTTTGCGAGTATTTTTACTAGGTTAGTAAAATGTTTTTTTTCTTTCTAAATTATTGACATATTTGTTTCAGTAGCTAATAGCGACAAGGAATTTCAAAATTCCGACGTAGACGACGTCCAATTATGTGAAGTAGCTGAGCAAAAAGAAGCTGATTCCTGCATTATTGAAGAATGGATTAAAACCGAAATAGCTTTAGATGAAGAGATGAAGGCAAAAAATGTTGCATTTGATAATGATACAAGGGTAATAGGCTGTTTTTGCTTACGCGTAAAAGCATATTTAGCGCATTTAGCTCTAAATGCTACTCTAAATGTACATTTATCCATACAAAATTCGTCACCTAAATGCAACTAAATGCAACTCCATTTTTGCATTAAGGATCTAAATGCTAAAAGCAACCCTGTGATCTTCCAAAATTTCCACGATTCGAACATGGTTTAAAGAGAAAAAGTGGCAACATTGCTTTTTCGAGTATACAGTTGCTAGCTGCGTTTCAGTGATCGCCGATCGAGATTTCTTTTATTTTGCATTACATATTTGGATAAAGAAAAGTTAAGCAAATTCAACATCGATTTGATGCTGATAGAAATCTGGATAAATTTGTGATCAACTCTGTTTGGTTTGTTTCCTAATTAAGTGAGGAAATTTTAATTGACAGCACCGACAAATGAATATATACACAAACAAACGTTCGGTTATGGTTAAAAAAATTCAAGTTTTTGTATTGAATTTTTGGTGTGAAAATTTATTTTTTCCTTTTCAGTAGGGTTTTTGCACATTATCTTCCGCGTGAGAATTGATCGTAATATATACGCATCTAAATAAGAGACTAGAACACGGCTGTTTCTCAAAAGCATACGATTTCGAACTCGCGTAAATGTACATTTGCTAAATGCTATAGCATGAACGCTCTTCGAAAACATATGTTCGAAAGTGCTAAATGTTGCATTTTAAATGCAGCAAAAACGCTGCATAAGAGAAAATTTTAAAGACAACATTTTAAATTTTTTTACTGCCAGGAACAGAACAGGAATAACACTGAAGATGGCACATCGCCGAGACCGGTTTGTATCGTAAACAAAATTTGACACAAAACAACAAAAAAAAAAAAAAAAAAATGATTGAAAATCAATGCGATTTTTCAGCCGCTCTAAACTTGCACTTATTTTACTAGAAAAAAAAATTCTAAAAATTCTGGTTATAAAGTTTGAAATTTAGATAAAAATTTGTTGGATTTTTCTAAACTCTGTACAAAGTTTGAAAGTGTGATTTATACAGTTTTTGATAAAGCATGAATCATAATATTTATGAAAAAATAAAAAAAAAAATTTAGCTTGAAAAACATTGTAAATATTAATAACGAAACACCATTAATCCATTTTTGACCGTCACTGTATGTATATGTAAATGGTGGAAGATCGACCTATTTCGGCAGCCAGTTCGAAAGCGCTCTATTTCAGAAAACTTTTCAAAAACGCACTACTTCTGAATTTGTTTGGAGAACGCTCTATTTCAGATTTTTTTTTGGAAAATAGCCTATGTTGTTATGGATCTCAGAATTTGGTTGAAGAACGCCCTATATCTAATGAAAATAAATGTGAGATAGGGCGCATTTGAATCGACAGCTGAGATAGGGCGTTCTTCAACCAAATTCTGGGATACGGTGTTTTTCAATAAAATTCTGAAATAGGGCGATGTAGAAAAATTTTCTGAGATATGGCGTTTTCGAACTGGCTGCCGAGATGCATAGGTCGATCTTCAAGTCGGCCATCGATATGTATTGTGATTTCACTCCAATATAAAAATTTTGAGCACTTTTCTATGCTTTATTTCAGACAACAGATCAAGCGCCTGAAGAATCAAATATAAAAACTACAACAAGGCAACAAATTATGGTTCATATTCCACATACCAGTAGCACTCCTGTAAGAACCTCATTAATAAAACGGCGCCGTGTGGAAAATGAAGAATGCAATGAAACTGAAAAAAATAATGCGGTATCGCAGATTTCTATACGTAATGCAAGCGAATTACTTGCCGTACATACAACAGAAGGAGTCGAGTGTGACACAAATATAGGCAATGGAGCATCAAAAACTAGAAAGAATAGATGGGCCAAGGAAATATATATTCACGAATCGCCAGAAGATGATTTAACAAACTTGCACGAAATCAGTGAGGACACCACCACAGACGATTGCGGATTGCAAAAATGCTACATTGGTAATTAATTATTTAACAACAATGAATATCATTAATTATTTTTAATTTAATTTTCTTTATGATTTTTAAATAGCAGCACAAACACACACGTGTGTGAATAAACAGGTTAGAGAGAGAAAAGAGTGCCAAATAGATAGCGTAGATACTTCTACTAAATACTTAAAGAAAAAGAAGAATAAGAAAATAAAAGCTAAGCGAGACATGGAACAAAAAGATGATGACTACCATTTTGTCATCAGTCTTTTGCCGTACTTGCGGCGTGGGAATTTGGAGCGAAAATTGCAAACGCGTATGGATTTGATGAAGGTCGTTATGGAGGGGCTAGAATGTAATGACGAGTAGATAATAAAATACAAGACAAATATTTATACCTCGAAAAGTAAAAAAAAAAAATGGATTAAATGAATAAAAAGAATATTTAAATTTACTTAGTATAGGTGAAATGGAGGTTAACCATGCAACTTCGAAATCAACTTAGAAATTTTTGGTTTTTTTTGCCAACGTAGATGTAGAAAAGATCGAAAAAAGCCGCTAAATTAATAAAAATGACAAGTCTTATAAAAGCACGATGTTCGTAGTGTGATGGTTGCTGTTAATAAGTGTTTTGAAGTTGTTTTGTTTTTTATGGATCTCAAATAATTTAATTTAATCTAATTTAGTGTATTTTAATTTTAAAACGAAGTAATTTTTAAATGCCTTAATTAACTCTATTTCAGTAGTAAACTCTTCTGAAAAATATTAAAAAAAAATGCATAATTACCGAACTTCAGTTGTGTGGCCAGTGGCAGAAATGGTATTACAGACGGCAACTGGCAACTGAAAGCTAGCAACTGAGTTGCTATATTCGCAAAGCTTTTTAGTGGTTGCCGCAGAAATTTTAATTAGAGATAACTTATTTATTTTTTCAAATGTTTCTTCAAAATTATATTTCCTTCAACTTTATAGAACTTGACTATAGTTGCTATTCATAATATACATTTTAATTTCAGTGGCATTGCCCATCGGTAACACAACTGAGGTTGCGTTGCCATCCATAATCGACCGATTACCAGTTACAATTTTCAATATTTCTATGAAGATTATATCAGCCTAATTTTTAACGAAAATGAAAGCGTATAAAATATATATACAAATTTTACAACACAAAAATATCTGGTATTTTTTTATGGAATTTTATACATTAGTTGCTTATCTATACATGTTAAAAATTTCTTTCACTGTTGTATAAGTTCCGACGACAGAGTTATAATTGATCACATTCTATGGTCAAATGTTATATTTTATTTTAATTTATTTATATTCCTCTTCGAATTGTCTGAATTATTATGGCCCTTATTATGAGTTCCATTCGATTTTCGATCTTCGCTGGCTATCGATTAAAATTAATTAAAAAGAATCCGTACATAATTATTGGGTAAAACCAAAATCATTTTAAAGAGATATCAATGTACAAAATTCTAATATTAGTCACATTGAAATTTCGCCTCAGGTTTCGCTGAAATCGGCGTTTAAATTGGTGGCGGCGATAACCACTTCTCTTTTTTTTTTTGTCCCGTGCGAATGCTTTTGTTTTTTGCAATTATCTTGAAAACGAAAAATTGCCAAAAATCAACTTCCGTACCAATTATACGGATAATTCAAAGCTATAAGTTAAACCTAGTGTCAAAATACAAAAAAAAATTTGTAGATGACGGGTTCTTCAGTTTGAATGTGTGCGATGTTCACGTTCGACTTGATGGAAATGTCCATATGTAGCTGTTATAAATAACTGTAATCCGCAAATTTGAACGTTAAGGCGTTGGGTGTAATTTTTTTTTTTATGAAATCGTTAAATTGCTTGTTTTTTATGTTACCGAAAAGGCCTCGCTCAGGACTATAATTGAATTGTCTCTCAACATAAGTGTTTAAATAAAACAGACACACGCAAAATTTTTTCTTCTTTCATACATATGTCGTGATACGGCTTAATGTACATATATATATATATTAGACTGCATCACTCCCCATACAAAAAAAAAAAAATCGGTACTATGTTTCTATTGGAATTATAAAATCTATTATATTTTAAGACTTGCACCAAAATATTTCGGAAAAATATTAAGATTTACGTGACTTGAAAATATCTCCAAAAATAGAGTTTTTTTATGAATTAAAATAGTTTCTTATCTTTATTTTTTTATTTTTTGAAAAAATTCCCCTCAGTTGACAAAGCAGTTTAAGCTTACGAAAATCTGCATAAAAATATTAAAATAATTTTCGACGGTATCGTAATAATGAGATTTTGGATGCTGTTTTTTTAACTTTTTTCAAAGATTGTTATAAGAAAAACTTCAACCAAAAGAAACTAGACCAAAAGAATTCCGATTTATGAGGTATCGTTAGAAATGTATTTTCTCACACTTTGTATTTCTTCAAGCATCAAAAATCTCATTTTTACGTTTCCGTTGAAAATTTTTTAAAATATTTTTATGCAGATTTTTTAGGCTTAAACTGGTTTGTCATCTGAGGCGATTTTTTTCTCGAAAAGTTCTTTAAGAAAATATCTTTCCATTCATAAAAAACTCCATTTTTGGAAGAATTTTCGAAGCGGTCCAGCTCACGTAAATCGTAATATTATTCAGAAATATTTTGCGTGGACGTCTTCAAATATAATCAATTTTGTAATCCCGGTGGAAAAGCCACACCTTTTTTTTTGAAGATGCAGTCTAATCTATAAGTATATATGTATGTATTAAATGATATATTATTTTCATGTATGCACACATGTACATATGTATATACTCACTTATAGTCTTCATCCGCCTTTGCGCCTGTGCCATTGCGTATTATCGGCTGATAGCAGCATCGTATGCGGTCTGATTTGCCAAATGACTTTATTTCGCTCTTCTCGATTTGCAGCAAATACTCCTTTGAAGTCGTATTGAAAGTGACCGTAGTTAGTGGTTTCTTTTTCGAGCATGGCTTATATTTTTCACGCTTGAAATGTTGCATTATATCCGGCGCATATACATCTACAACTGGTATTCGACAGGATTCGCTCCAAACAAGAAAACCTGTGCGTGGTTGTACGATTTCATATGTATTATTAGTTAATGGATTTTTAGAGTTAGAATCGGTGCGTGACTCTGTGGTTGTTGTATCGTTTAAAAGTGCCACATTGTCGGCTGGTGGTGTCACTAATGGTCTCACACTACCAATTGCTTGTGACAGCAGCTCTTTTTTGTCTACTGATTTTGAGGTGAGCGCGCAAGCAGATGTTGCACATTAGACAGCACAAGACAAAACAGCAAGCAAAATAACAACAACAAATCGGTACAAGCAATTTGGTGAATTGTAGTTTTTTTTTTTAATTTAATTTCATATTCCAGAAGTGGTTGATTTGAATTTTGTTGCGTCAAAAGCATGCAAATTAAAAGAACGAAAAATAAAACATAACAATTTGTAATGTGCAGCAATAGACATTTGGACAAATGATCAAAATAAAGTTGTATAGGTAATACACATACATATGTACATATGTAGTAAGTATGTTTGTAAGTGTGATAAAACAAAAGCTAAAATACAAATAGAAAAAAAATACATTGGGTCAGTTCGTAAATGCAGTACTGCAGCAGTAATGCCAAAATATCTAAAACGAAGAGCAGTTAACCGTATCCCGTCACTTGCCTAGAGTGGGGTACAACACGGAACAATTTCTCAACTTCTTGAAAAATTAGTATTACTACTTTTTTTTCTAAATTTACTTTTGATTAAGAAAGGTTCATAGTTGCTCTAAAAGCTTTTCTGCATCAAAATTAAATTAGGTTAGTAAAACCAATATGATGCAATCGAAGAGCCATCTTGGTGATTCTAAAGAAACCTTAGGACACTTTTCGTGATACCAGCAAAGTTCTAGAAATCGAAGAGAAAAAATAAAAATAACAACCAAAAAAAAAAAATCCAATGATCTCGAAAAGTAAAACACCAATAAATCCTGAAAAGTGTTCCGATAAATCCTAAAAGACCCGCAAATATCCTGAACGGTTCCGAAAAGATTCAAATAAAATATTGATTTGAAAATTACGAAAAAATCCTAAACGGTCACGAAAAATCCCAAAAAGTCCCAAACCACTCAAAAGATCCTCTACATTTCCAGTAAAACCCTAAAAGTCCCACCTGAATGGTCGCGAAAAAAATCGCAAAAAACTTGCGACAAAAACCCAAATGGTCCTGTTCAGTTCTACTAAATAAAAAAAATATGAGTCAAACAAAATTAAGTCAGGATACTAGCTGACGAGTCCAAGATGCACTGCGATATATATAGACAAGAGTATATTCCGAAGAGCTTGGTATCGCTCAGTCCCAGCGGATGGCGAGCCACGAAATGCCATACATATGTATGTATGTATGTCCGTATGAAATGCAAAGCGGAAGGCCCCTCGACTCTCAGGAAAGCCTTTTGAAAAGGAAAGCTCCTGAAATTTTCTACTGGGTAACAAATTCTTTGTCGGCCGCTGTGGTGTAGTGGTAAGCAGTACGCGCTTTCACTCATCAGCACCTGGGTTCAAGCCCTGGTCAAAGCAACATCGCAAAAAAAATATAGAAAAAGGTTTTTTTCTTAACAGCGGTCGTCCCTCGGCAGGCAATGGCAAAACTCCGAGTGTATTGCTGCCATGAAAAACAGCTTCTCATAAAAATACAATCGCCGTTCGGAGTCGGCGTAAAACTGTAGGTCCCTCCGGTTTGTGTGACAAATCAAGGCGCACGCCACAAGCCGGAGGAGAAGCTCGGCCAAACACTAACAAATGTGTAAGCGCCAATCTATTATTATTATATTAACAAATTCTTTATTATTCAGTTGAAAAAAAGAGGAATTACATTTCTAGTTAAATTTTTCCTATATTATTAACTTACTAATATTTATCTTTTGCGCATTTCTAGAATTACTTCATTTATGATTACTCAAATATTCTAATTAGGAAAATTGCATTTTTAAAATTATTGTAATCAATTACACTTGTAATCCTTATCGCTCAGCTCTCTGTTTCCTGTTCATATTGCATACAAAAAAAAAAATCATTACGCATTTTCATTTGACCATTCCTCACTTATTTATTTATTCTTCGATTTCTTCGTTAATAGCTTGCATTTGTTGTTAAAGAGCAAGCTTTACTGCCAGAGAAAAAATTGGACAAACCTAAAAAAAAAAAAAACAATCGGGAATTCTTAACCTTTCATTTGCTAATAAGATTGTCCAATTGGTTCGTAAAAATACATGCTTATGTGGAACCACTTTTTTTTAACTCCCAAAAGCTTATCCATATTAAAAAAAAAATTACTCGATTTTCGGAATGCGATAGTGGCATCTGGCGAGCAAAAAAATAAAAGAATAAAAATTTGTGATCCAGTGTAATTGGTTCTGTTAGCTTTATGCTTTAAATCTCGAGTGGTGGTCACGCAGTATATTCACTCGACTTAACCCTCGTTGTACAAGCTTGGGTTTTGATCAAAGCTGCACTTAATACTGCATTTAGAAATTAACCCTTAGTGACAAATGTTATACGAAATTGTGTATGCATATGCAAACATACATATGTATGTATTTGACTGTCTATTTATGTACATACATATAAATATTGTTTTAACATGCAAAAGTGTTAAAAAGTCAAGTTTTTGTGCTATGAATTTGTACACATGTATGTACATACATATGTAGTTAAATATAAGTATTAACATAAAAACTATAAAATTAAAAAGTAATCTACGCTTGTTTTGTACATATGTATTAGTTAGTCAATATAGTATAAGTGCATACAATATGGCGTCTAGCATAATATTCATCTAGTATGTATGTACATATATTATACAAAACGCAATAAATATTTATGATGCACCTTGGCGTATACGTACCCTTCATGCCCGGCACATGCGA